TACGGAAGACAAAGTAAGTAATGTTTATTGCAGTTTTAAAAGAAGCAAACATTTAGAAATAATATAATTTAAATTTATATTCGTTGTGATGCATGACCTTAGGGCAAGTACAATTCTAGAAGGACGAGTGGAAAGTTTATATTTCTCACCCTATAGGGCGAGTGCAGATTTTTAAAGTTAAACTGTATTCACTTTGACTGAATTACAGCGTTATAAATAAAATCCTCAACTGTAAATTGTTTTACACATCTACACAATCGTTCCTCCACTACCTGAGCTGTTCTACATATAGTATTATGCTGGGTCAATAATTCATTCGTAACTACTCGCCTCTTTCTCATTCGTGACCAACTCGTGTCATTCCGGGACAAGCCGAATCGTTCTTGGAGTGCGGCGAGATGTGACGAATGGAATGGAATGAATTGTGCCGGGCAACGTTTTACTGACAGAGCCGAACTGCGACCGAGTGAGGGCGAGTGCAGCTGCGTGAACGGTTATGGAAAAGACTTCTTGAAACAGTGCAGTAATCACACTTGGACACACCTATAGGAAAGGTAGACATTCAGGTGCCTTTTGTCGTTTACCTAAACGTAGATCTTGTCAAACTGACACCATGGATTTATTGTTTTTGTAATACTATTCTACAAATATCTAGGTGATTGTATACCGGTTGTAACAAGGCAGTCACCTACTTTCGTTTTGACATTACAACCTGGCTGTGTTGTTGTGCCACCCAGCCCTGAAACTTACTGAATAGAGACAATCACAAAATACGTTTATAAATAGAATTTTTTCCCCATGTTTTTATTCCCAGAGTTATGTTTACAGACTTTACCTCAGTAGTACAGTACGGGTAGCTTCATAGTATGCAAGAACAGTGTTTCCTTGATCATATTGTCAAATATCATGCTGTTCACAAATATGTAAAACGGTCAAAACTAAGACTGTGTATGAAGTGTTACATGTTTGCAGATTTTACCTCGGTAGTACACAGTACAGTACAGATAGCTTCATTGTACACAAGTACAGTGTTTCCTTTGTCACTCACTCTTACATCATGCTGTTCACAAATATGCAAAATGGTCAAACTAAGCATGTATATGAAGTATTACATGTTTACAGATTTTACCTCAGTAGTACAGTACAGTACAGTACAGGTAGCCTCATAGTACACAAGTAGTGTTTCTTTGATAACATTGTCAAATATCATGCTATTCCCAAATATGTAAAATGGTCAAACTAAGCATGTATATGAAGTGTTACATGTTTACAGACTTTACCTCGGTAGTACAGTACAGTACAGGTAGCCTCATAGTACACAAGTACAGTGTTTCCTTGATAACATTGTCAAATATCATGCTGTTCCCAAATATGTAAAATGGTCAAACTAAGCATGTATATGAAGTGTTACATGTTTACAGACTTTACCTCGGTAGTACAGTACCGTACAGGTAGTATAGTGTTACAGTGTTTCCTTGATCATATTGTCCCATATCATGCTATTCCCAAATATGTAAAATGGTCAAACTAAGCATGTATATGAAGTGTTACATGTTTACAGACTTTACCTCGGTAGTACAGTACCGTACAGGTAGCCTTATAGTACACAAGTACAGTGTTTCCTTGATCATATTGTCCCATATCATGCTATTCCCAAATATGTAAAATGGTCAAACTAAGCATGTATATGAAGTGTTACATGTTTACAGACTTTACCTCGGTAGTACAGTACCGTACAGGTAGCCTTATAGTACACAAGTACAGTGTTTCCTTGATCATATTGTCCCATATCATGCTATTCCCAAATATGTAAAATGGTCAAACTAAGCATGTATATGAAGGGTTACATGTTTACAGATTTAACCTCAGTAATGGTTAATATTATTGCAGTGATGAATAATATTAACAATGGCGTCATTCGGCGAGCATATCGCTCCTCCTACATGTAATTAGTCCATATGTACGTTGTTGCCATGGAGCACGTCGACAGTGTGCATTACTCAATATACCCGTGTTCAATGTAGAAGTGGAGCTCTACATTTCTGACGCCTTTACATGTCTTCTCTATTATGCGCCGATAGCACGGCGGGGGATAGCAGAAATGGGCTTCACACATTGTGCCCGTATGGAGAATCGAAGCCAGGTGTTCGGCGTGACGGGCAAACCTTTATCTAATAGGCTACCCCACCGTCGAAATGTGTAAATGATATGTTGTCATAAAGCGGTAGGCAGTTCCAGTTGTGTCCGTTATTGTTCCAGTTATTGTGTCATTGCTGATGATGTCATGGTAAACAATAACATCGCAACCGTCTGCACCCAAGCAGCATCTCCCTTGGAAGCCATGTTAGGATAGGATAACATTGTACAGTATTCTCTCTGAGGGTGTCACCTTGGTGAGGGGCGAAAGCCTAGAATGATGCTACTTAGGTGAAACCCCACAAGTATATAATATGCGCCTCAGATTAGTTGATGCTCTGGGGGATATGTCTTCTGTTCAGAACACAAGTCCACAGCGATTTATTCGGGTAGGGTGTACAGGAGGTGGCCCTGAACTCTCAGCTTCAGCCCGGCCTGCCTAGCACTGCTGGTTCACAGTTATATATACATTCTTTTAATTAGAATAACTGACATTCCTGGCCCGTATCCGGTTTCCCTCATTTCATGTTTGGGGAAGCTACCTATGGTCACTTTGTATCTTTAGATAGGGTTATGTCTCAACCCATCCGATGCCTGACCGATGAGGGAGAGGTGGGTCATGTCGCTAATTCATGTTCCCAAATATGGGGACCGTTCTGTGACTCTTGCCTCTGAAACAAGGTTATGATGCCGAAAACCCCAGAAACAGAATGAGGGCGAATCGGGGTTGTGACCCACGTGCACGCGTATGTTGTAGAAATGCTTGGAAATAATGCATCTCGTATGTAATTTTTGAAATAGAACAGGAACTCTGACACGTGAATTTTATAGATGGCGACCGCCGGGCTAGAGAACAAAGTAAAGAATAATTTGCTGACGTGCTCCATCTGCTTCGAGATGTACACAGACCCGTGTACACTGAGGTGTGATCACACATTCTGCAGGAAATGTGTCACCTCATACATCCAAACCAGACCTGATGCTGTACAGTCCAAGACCATCCCCTGTCCCTGCTGTCGACAAGACACCAAGGTCCCCCACCCCAGGAGGCCGGTGGAGGAGTGGGCGGGGCAGATCAAACCCAGCATCATTATAAAGGAGCTGATTGACACCTATAGGTCCGAGGTAGCTGTGCAAGGTAAAGTGAAAATGTGATCTACGTATGTGTATGTATTTAAGACTAGTGGTAGACATAACATTGACATTTGTGTTGTGTTAAAATAAAGCCTGCTTACTTTCATAGCCTTTCCATATTTCAACGAAAATAAGTACGTGTGTACTTGTGTTTACAGAGACCTCGAGCACCTGTTGTACGATCTGTCAGCAACTAGGGGAGACAACTCCAGGGGTCTTGTGGTGTCCTGAGTGTGAAGTGGCCCTCTGTGACAAATGTGTGAAGACACACCGGGTGACCCCCATGTCACTGAACCATGACCTATGTGACCTGTCATCTAGGTCAAAGGTCAAACGGAGTATCAAGTGTACGGAACACAAGAGTAACAGTGTTGAGTTCCACTGTCAAGACTGTGGGAAGGCTGCCTGTCAGACATGTTGCATCATCTACCATAGAGCTTGTAAAACTGTCGTCACCATTGAGTCTATGAAGCCAGGGATGAAGGCAGCACTGATTGAGAAGAGACTTGGCATGGAGAAGAGACTGAAAGTGAGATCGAAGAAAGCAGACATACGAAACGAGAAGCTCCAAAGTAGTTCCAAAATCACAGAGTCAGCTGTTCAAAATATTAGGTTGATCTGCCAGACAGCTATTAACAAGATTAAACAGAAAGAAACACAACTTTTGGATGAACTAAATAACATATCACAGACATACTCTGGTCAGCTCCAAGCTGATGTGAAGCTGGAAGAGATCGAGATGCAGATGTACAGACAACATTGTGAGTTCATTGACCAGGCCTTGGTATCGGACTGTGAGATGGACCTGTATGACGCGTATCAGGCCTGGGAGTCTGGAGCTGTAGACATGGAAGATGTCAGGGATACAGAGGCAGCAGACACCCGGAGAATAGAAGACATGATCTTTACACCAGACACTGACAACGTCCTGAAGGTCTTAGATAACCTGCAGTTGGGGAAGATCGACGTCACATGTCAGGGTACATGTCTGCCATCTCCAGTGCTGGTTGACACGATAGATGGGAGGGTGGCGGGTGATGAGGAGAAGACTAAACTGCAAGACGTGACAGTTCTGGTTGTAGATGGTGTACAGACATGTGTTGTTACGGACTATAATAACAAGTGCGTGAAATCATACTTCACAAGAAATAGTCAGTCATGCCATAGTAAACTTCCCCTGGATAACTCTCCACGTGGGATAACACTGTTGAATGAGAAGCAGGTGATGGTTGCTGTCCCACACTCCCATCAGATTGTAACGGTAGAAGTGACCCCTGACCTGGTGCTGCTCTCTACCACCAAAACACCTGCCGAATACTACAGTCTGGCTGTTCTGAATCCTTCCTGTCTAGCAGCAGGTACGAGGAAATGTGTTGATATCCTGGACATGGCTGGACACGTGTTGAAGTCAATCACTACACACAATGGCGAGTCACTGTTTGCCAGCCCCTGGTACATGTGTGTCAACAACAAGGGCAACATACTCGTGTCTGACTGGATGAAGATGTCTGTGACATGTCTGACGTCAGAGGGGGATGTTTTATGGAGATATAACCGTACCGGAGACAAGGCACTCGGCTACCCTCATGGTATCAGAACTACCAGCACAGGAGACATCCTGGTTGTAGACAGGGACACTGACAAGGTGATACAGCTGACAGGGTCGGGAGAGTTTGTCAGTGAACTGCTCACGTTAGAAGCTGGCGGTGAGACCGGCATGTGTGATATATTCTGTTATAAATACGGTTTCTTATTTCTATGCACAGACACGGAAGTGAAAGAGTACGTGTTTGTCTGACATAAAAATCAAAAGTGCAGAGCTGTGGTTTATGACATTCTGTGCATGGTGTTAGTCTGGAATGGCTTGTGTTTTCACCAACACGTATGGGCATAGCTTTGTCAGTGAATTGCAGACATGCAGTATTCAAAGAGGTCATTTCCAGCAAGAAGTGAAACAGTCCACATGATCACCAGGTGAAACATGTAACAGGTGCAAAATACTGTATTTATTTTTGCATTGTCTTGGTGTTTGGCTTTAATTATAAGCTTTAAAATATTAATTTCATAATGATGTAGGGACCTTCAGGACTACTCATTTGGAGCCTTGCCACCTATGTAAGGATAGTTCACAGTTCATTTTTTATACCAACTCTGCTGATTGGCCCAAACTTTATGAAGAAGCCTTGAAACCTCTCATTAGCTGTAAGTTGCTGCTCATGTTTTGTATGCAAGGTAAGATGCTCAGTATTGTTCATTCTGGCTGGCAACTTCATCAGGGACACATGTTTTGGTCTTGAAGAACCTGAAGGTTAGTTTTATGTATTATAATGTATTTTATTAAGGATAAACAGTACAAAAATATTTCAATTGGTTTATGGTATTTCAAAGAATTGTTGAAAGTATATGGAATGTTGAGATAAAATACTTTCCAATATCTTGGTGATGTATTTGTGGAAAACAATTTGCTTTGCACTTGTGATGTATTTTATACTAGTGTTTTGCATAACATTTATAATTTTAATATTGTGTTTAGATATACTAGTGAAGGCGTTCTGATGAAGCACCAGCCATTTGATTCAGCCCATAGCTGGTGTTTATGTGTAATTTGGTAGTTTTATCCATAATGCTATTTTCAATAATTATAATAGCTGTCACTGGCCACATGTATATTTATTTAATGTTTTTGTAGTGTTCCTTAAATGTATTTATTTAATGTTTATGGAATATTTAAAGATTACGTTGTATTTAAATGTTATAATCTGTGACACACGTACATGTGCTATAACATATTGCAGAATTGATCGCGAGCGTGTACCACTACATCTGGCTGGATTAAATAAAGAATTCTGCCCTACGGCTGGCCCTTGTCATCAATGGGACTAGCCCGTTTACAAAAGTACCAGTAGATATAGCTCTTGTGGAGAGTCCTGGGATGACCTGAGCTACAGAACGACTACTTGATCTCAACAATCTGCTGAACCTGGTGCTACTTGAGGTATAACCGTCCTGGGTACAGCTGATGTGTAACGACACCATAAGAGGAAATATACCATTCTATTCAAGGCATGCATGGAACCCAGTAGACATACATAGACTAATGTACGGATGGACAAGGACTAGGTCAGCCGGCCTGCTGAAGTACTAGTATATACGTCCTGGGCATAGCTGAAGTGTAAAGAAACCCCAAGAAGAAATATAGTTGATTGATTGAATGACTGCTGTTTCACGCCGCACTCAGCAATATTCCAGCAATATGATGGCGGCCTGTAAATAATCGAGGCTGGACCAGACAATCCAGTGATCAATAACATGAGCATTCATCTACAAATGCTGGATACGATGACATGTGTCACCAAGTCAGCGAGCCTGACTACACAGTCCCGTAAGTCGCCTTTTACGACAGGTATTGGTTGTTGCAGATCAAATCTCACCCGGATCTTCACTGGTAAGCGGAAATATATATCTTCGTTCAAAGTATGCATAAAAACCCAGGAGACATGCGTATGGACAGACTAATGGATGGATGGACAATGGCCACGGCAGGTGTGAAACGTTTGGTCAGTTTTCGGAGTTTCTTCCTCATAGAATATTCAGTATCGATACATGTGATCTTCACCCAAGCCGGAGGATAAAGCTTACATTGTCCAGCAAAGGACTTGGTGAAACACACCACTGGTGACAGTGATTATAGAGATATTTATACTTTGACCATAGGAGGACAGCGTGATCTTTACGAAATGTGGTAATTTGTACTCGCGGAGGCATTCTATGAAAAGCAAAACTAACTTATCTGCTCATGACTTGCATGAAGCACTGGCAAATGCGTGGCATGGGATTCAGCGTGATTGGATATATATATTTTATAAACTATAACATGCTTTTGTATGCAAAAAACCCCGACTACAAACATTATGATTGCATACCATCATTGCCATCTGATTTTGTACTATAGGTCTGTGGCCTCTTCGGTACTGGAATAAAAAGGGATTTGAATAACGGGAAGGATACAGTTTCCCTCACAACCACATACATGCACATTTTATACTTACGTTTCATTGACTATTGTCCGTGACGTTCTGAATGAGCAGCTGTTTCCAGGAATATACTGTTTGTTGACCACTTTAACACAATCATGTGCTATGTGGATTAACTGAGCACTGTTAAAGGATTCATGACATGAAGGCTGTTATTTTCATTCGAAAACACGCATTCAGATAGTCACAATCCCCAAAACATTTGGGAGATGATAATTTAAAATTACACTTGAGTGTTTGCCAGTTCATTTGACCCTGCGTTAAACCGAGGCAACATTTTCTTTTTCAATATTCGTTCAATTATCTTTTGCCAATGTCACTTCGCTGTTTTAAACAATGTAGGAATCGCCTACATAGAATCGGGTATACACGGCATGTAAATGCTGCACGAGCCTTTAGATTTGTGTGGTTCTTTAACAAAGGTTTGGCTTCATTAAGTAGCATAACAGATGAGCATAACAGATTATTTACTTTTTCAAAGCAAGACGGCGAACCTTTGTCAAAATGTGGGAACGTTAACGGTTTTCTTGAGCTTGACATAAACTGTCGTGTATTAATTCTGAAACTGCACAAAAATAAAATAGAAAAAAGGTCCTTGATAGTCTAAATGGGCATTGTTAAAATGAAGGTATTTGTGCTTTTTATCTAACGACACCCAGAGCAATATCCAGCTGACAATCCAAACTGAGGTCAAGTAGTGATAATTATTCGTTTTGTCGAGTCGGACTAGATAAAACGGTTACATTTATGACCCGAAGAACACGATGGAAATTTGCTGGAATTTAATTGTTCAAACACGGACTGTGATCGTGTTGCACGTGCATTTTAACTTTAACTGAGTAAAAAGTATTTTCATATGGAAAAAAAAGTAATAATATACGGATTTCTGTGAAACATAGCAAGAGTTTCAGCTTCATCGTGTATGTTCCATTGCAACTTTATGTTTGACATTATGTAGGAACCTAGCAGTTGCAAACAGGAAAGCTGCAACACATGGTTTATATTGCACATCGCAGGAGGTGGTATCATGAACTCAACTTCTTTTTGAAAACGTTGAGTCATTTACTAGCATCATCAAAAACTGTTCACTGAAGGTCATCTTCTCAGTATGACTACTCCCAGTTTGACTACTCATGACCATATACATATAATGGAGCACACTTACACTTAATAATGTACTGTACCTGTATAGCTGATTACTCCCAGTTTGACTACTCATGGCCATAAATATGTAATGGAGCACACCTACACTTAATAATGTACTGTACCTGTATAGCTGATTACTCCCAGTTTGTCTACTCATGAACATAAATATGTAATGGAGCACACCTACACTTAATAATGTACTGTACCTGTATAGCTGATGTACTGTACCCGATTACTCCCAGATTGTCTACTCGTGACCATAAATATGTAATGGAGCACACCTACACTTAATAATGTACTGTACCTGTATAGCTGACTACTCCCAGTTTGACTACTCATGACCATAAATATGTAATGGAGCACGCCTACACTTAATAATGTACTGTACCTGTATAGCCGATTACTCCCAGTTTGTCAACTCATGACTATAAACATATAATGGAGCACACCTACACTTAATAATGTACTGTACCCGATTACTCCCAGTTTGTCTACTCGTGACCATAAATATGTAATGGAGCACACCTACACTTAATAATGTACTGTACCTGTATAGCCGATTACTCCCAGTTTGTCTACTCATGAACATAAATATGTAATGGAGCACACCTACACTTAATAATGTACTGTACCTGTATAGCTGATTACTCCCAGTTTGTCTACTCATGAACATAAATATGTAATGGAGCACACCTACACTTAATAATGTACTGTACCTGTATAGCTGATGTACTGTACCCGATTACTCCCAGATTGTCTACTCGTGACCATAAATATGTAATGGAGCACACCTACACTTAATAATGTACTGTACCTGTATAGCTGACTACTCCCAGTTTGACTACTCATGACCATAAATAGGTAATGGAGCACGCCTACACTTAATAATGTACTGTACCTGTATAGCCGATTACTCCCAGTTTGTCTACTCATGACTATAAACATATAATGGAGCACACCTACACTTAATAATGTACTGTACCTGATTGATTACTCCCAGTTTGTCTACTCGTGACCATAAATATGTAATGGAGCACACCTACACTTAATAATGTACTGTACCTGTATAGCTGATTACTCCCAGTTTGTCTACTCATGAACATAAATATGTAATGGAGCACACCTACACTTAATAATGTACTGTACCTGTATAGCCGAGTACTCCCAGATTGTCTACTCGTGACCATAAATATGTAATGGAGCACACCTACACTTAATAATGTACTGTACCTGTACAGCTGACTACTCCCAGTTTGACTACTCACGACCATAAATATGTAATGGAGCACACCTACACTTAATAATGTACTGTACCTGTATAGCCGATTACTCCCAGTTTGTCTACTCATGAACATAAATATGTAATGGAGCACACCTACACTTAATAATGTACTGTACCTGTATAGCCGATTACTCCCAGTTTGTCTACTCGTGACCATAAATATGTAATGGAGCACACCTACACTTAATAATGTACTGTACCTGTATAGCTGATTACTCCCAGTTTGACTACTCATGACCATAAATATGTAATGGAGCACACCTACACTTAATAATGTACTGTACCTGTATAGCCGATTACTCCCAGTTTGTCTACTCATGAACATAAACATATAATGGAGCACACCTACACTTAATTATGTACTGTACCCTATTACTCCCAGTTTGTCTACTCGTGACCATAAATATGTAATGGAGCACGCCAACACTTAATAATGTACTGTACCTGTATAGCTGATTACTCCCAGTTTGTCTACTCATGAACATAAATATGTAATGGAGCACACCTACACTTTAATAATGTACTGTACCTGTGATGTAGCTGATTATTACCCCAGTTTGTCTACTCATGACCATAAATATGTAATGGAGCACACCTACACTTAATAATGTACTGTACCTGTATAGCTGATTACTCCCAGTTTGACTACTCATGACCATAAATATGTAATGGAGCACGCCTACACTTAATAATGTACTGTACCTGTATAGCTGATTACTCCCCAGTTTGTCTACTCATGACCATAAATATATAATGGAGCACACCTACACTTAATAATGTACTGTACCTGTATAGCTGATTACTCCCAGTTTGACTACTCATGACCATAAATATGTAATGGAGCACACCACCTACTTAATGTACTGTCCCTGTATAGCCGATTACTCCCAGTTTGACTACTCATGAACATAAATATGTAATGGAGCACACCTACACTTAATAATGTACTGTACCTGTATAGCTGACTACTCCCAGTTTGACTACTCATGACCATAAATAGGTAATGGAGCACGCCTACACTTAATAATGTACTGTACCTGTATAGCCGATTACTCCCAGTTTGTCTACTCATGACTATAAACATATAATGGAGCACACCTACACTTAATAATGTACTGTACCCGATTACTCCCAGTTTGTCTACTCGTGACCATAAATATGTAATGGAACACACCTACACTTAATAATGTACTGTACCTGTATAGCCGATTACTCCCAGTTTGTCTACTCTTTGAAATAAGCCTATAAGGGAGACTCCCAGGGCCTACCTATAATGATTAGAAACCAAGTGAATCTGGGATCTTGTGATCATTCATTGTTTGTGACAATTGTATCTGATGACCACTAACGTAAACACCAGGTCATGTTTTATATACTGGGGATGATTGGGGCAAGTATGAATATTCTTGATAAGTATTTGATACTGCCCTCCATGAGACTCTTAAGATATAGTTTACATTGCACATCTCGGGAGGTGCTATCATGAACACAACTTCTATT